TCTCCTCTTGACCTGCAAAGCAGATGAGTCATAAAGCATTTTGTGATGATTTAATGATTCTTCATAAGCATTTATATCTCAAGTGATCAAAAGTATAATGTATTTAAAATTGTACTATAGCAATTATTTTTACACTAAATTATGGTGATGGTGATAAGTATATAATAGTAATACAAATATTTACTTTATTTACAGGAAAGAAAGTGAAAAAATAATTATCTTCATATCTTTAATATTTTAGAATTTAATTATTTTTGCTGTTTTAGAAGGACGACAATAATGAATTCAAAGAAAACGATGATTATGAAGATGAAGTTTTAGAAAATTATATTGATGCTCTTCCCAATCCTGATAGAGTTAATGACAATAATGAAGATGACAAAGATGATTATGACAATGAAGATGAAGAAACTGTTATAAACATGAAGTATGTTAGTTATTTATTATGTACAGTACACATCAAACTAAATAATAATTGTATTGAAATTTCTCATATCAGAAAATTAAGATGAGAACATTAGAAAAGGATGGAATAATTTTATTTCTAAAAGAGGATAAATACAGTTAAACCTTAATTTAATGCCACCATTTGTTTGCCTCTGAAATTAGTGTTGAATTGATTTTGGTCCTAAATTAAAGTTTCTTAGACAATAAGAATAATATACAGTGGTGCCTTGTATAACGTACTTAATCTATTCCAGGTGCACATCCGTTAAGTGAAAAGTCCATTATACAAAACGCATTTTCCCATAGAAATACATGTTAAAACACATAATTCATTCTGCGGCATAAAATAACTGTACCATAAAAAAATGAAAATGGAGCAGTCACCAATTATGCCGGGTAGTCAGATGTTGTGAGGAGGTGGAGGAACACTTTTTTCACACATTCATACAGATAGACTTTTTACACATTGCAGCAGGTCTCTTTTTATTGTTTTTTAATTGGAGTCAAATTCAAGGGAAGCTACCGGAGCTTGCAGGGTCAACTCCTCTTGTTCCATCCTTTGTTTTTTGGCAGCTGGCTTCTTGAAAAACATGTCCAAGGTGGTCTGTTTCTCTCTCTTCTTCAACACCTGTTGGAAATGACAGGCAAGGACGTCATTGTAGAGATCATTGATCCTGTTGGCCTCAGCTATGTTTGAATAATGAGTGTTGGTAAACTCCTGAACCTCTCCCCATTTGACAAGGAAGTTGTTGTCAACTTTTACTCCTTCTGATGATTTTTTGCTTTGTTTCAATTGAAATCACATTTCTGATTTTTTAGAAGCCATGATTTGCACAACACTTAAATAAATGTAAATACCCTGCACTGAGGTGATGTATGTAATAAACAAGGGAGCAAGCCAAATCCCAACAGGAGCTCTGTACTTCAGATATACTAATAATATATTCTAATAATAATAATTTATTATAAAAATAGCAGATTGTCATTGGCAACAGCAAAACAGTGGAAACATCATTCGCACTTGTTCGCAGAAAGTCCGTTATTCGAGACGTACATTATACAAGGCACCACTGTATATTAAATGAAGTCTACATACAGGTTTGAGTTTAGGAGTATGAAAATAACAATTTGTTCTAATACAGAATTAAGCTGTACTGATAAATAGATCTCTGCCTAATATTTATGGGGCAGATTTGTTTACAAGTAGGTATTGGTGCTATTCACGAGTGCACTATATTAAGGTTTGAGCATGTTTAATGTATTAAATTAAATCACTCAAACCTCACTGATGTGAAATGTTTGAATAGAAACAAACTTTTGACTGTACAGAAACATTTTTCTACAACAAGAAACATTTGTTGCATAAAAATGAAACTGTACAGTATCAAAAGGAAATAATGTCCATAAAAAATCCAAATTCTTAAAAAAAATGGAATTGTTTATTTACTGAAAGGAATCAAAGCTTAATCTTCAATGCACAGACAACAAAATGGCATCCAAATGATTGATTTTCAAATATATTTTGTTTATTTTTATTTATTTATTTATTTATTAACTCCTTGATATTTAAACTCTAGTGCTTTTTTTTAATATTGTTTATTCTTTATTAAAAGTTTAAATATATAAATAAAATAAAGCTAATATTGTTTACAAAATGTCTTAAAATAAAAAGTAGTGTTATAAAGCAACAAAACTCAAAGGTTGGACCTTTGAATGCAGTCGGGCAAAACTCCGACTAGTAATAGATATTGCAAAAATTCAATTTCTGAAGTTTATTTACATTCTAATATTTAATAATTATCATTAATTTTGCTGTTTTTAAAAGTTTGTGTTGATTAAAGGCTGAGAATCATTAAAATAAGTTTTTATTTTTTATTTTTAAAAATAATTATTAAATTTGATATAGACAAGATGTAAGTTAATATCATTTATGACCAGGCATCAACATACTATTCTGAAGAATTTAAGTCTAAATCTGGGCTAGATCTTCAGAAATGTAGAACTTCCTTTACTGCTGACACCATATTATGATTCTATCAGAATCCATGATAGATACAGGCTTTGGCCAAGCACAAAATGGAGCACAAATACAGATCCTCTTAGTGCCCACAAAACAGAAAGAATTTAAACAAACATCATACAGTAATGAATTTTTAATAAATTAAATTGACATAAAATTTGCACATTTATAAATTTCAGACATTAAATAAAGTCTGTAGTAATTAGATACAATCTTAATTACAAGATCAACTCTCACCAAAGGGAAAATAAAATGATTCAAAATATGACCAAACCTCAATTTAGTCCTGCTGTTTGTTCACTATTAAAAATGGCACTAGACGAAAATATCTCAATGAGAGTTATGCATAGCAATATCATCTATGCACAAATTTGAGTGTTTAAGTTTGAAAGTCAAGCATTATGATTATAACAATTTGAAGTTAAAAATCATACATTTAGTAATTCACATATACTGAAATGTTTGTAATATTTTTGAGGAAGGTCCATTCACAAGTATTTGTGGATTCTTACCAGGATGGCACTATACAGAAAGGCATTATATTGAAGTTTAGTGTATAAAAGTAGATATCTTACTATATTAATGAAATCATGTAGAATATTTGATATTCTTAGTAATTATATCTTACTACTATTAAGACATCAAACATCTTTATTTAGCAAATTACACTTTGAAAATTTAATAAGTAAAAATCCTGATACTCAAACCTCGACACAAAAACCTTTAAAATGCTGCCTTTTTATTCAAATTTTTGAATTTTCTTAGAATCTTTCTTTGAAAAATCCTAAATTCAAATATTTTTGGATTACTATTAATCTAAGAGTGCTTATAAATAACATTTATAGATATTCAAATACAGTATTAGAGTGATGTGAATATGTCACTTTAGCTATTTTTGTTTTACATACATTAGAATTAAGGATAAATCTTATTTTCCAATCCATAAAGTGGAAAGAATTTTTTACTTGTCTCTCTGGGTTTGTGTTAAAATGACATTACTCAAGACAATTTTTGTATATGTAATTTTAAAAAATTTCTATGAAACATCTAAAATTTTAAATGTAAATAAATAAAGTTTCTAAATTTTCTGGATAAAGGGTCTTAAAAGAACCCTTTAAGACCCTTTTCCAAAAAAATTAAAAAAAAACTTTCTTAAAATTGTTAATTGAATTAGTTTAGCTTAAACAACTAAATTCAATTTTTTAGTTTTGTTTAATTTTTATCATGATCATTTTTATTTTCTATTGTAAAATTCTGAATTAATTTACTTGCAATTATAAAATAAGCAATTCATGTGATATATTATGTTAAAAAAAATAACATTTTTTATGTAACCTTTTCCTAGAAAAACAACAAAAACTTCATGNTATTATAAAAATAGCAGATTGTCATTGGCAACAGCAAAACAGTGGAAACATCATTCGCACTTGTTCGCAGAAAGTCCGTTATTCGAGACGTACATTATACAAGGCACCACTGTATATTAAATGAAGTCTACATACAGGTTTGAGTTTAGGAGTATGAAAATAACAATTTGTTCTAATACAGAATTAAGCTGTACTGATAAATAGATCTCTGCCTAATATTTATGGGGCAGATTTGTTTACAAGTAGGTATTGGTGCTATTCACGAGTGCACTATATTAAGGTTTGAGCATGTTTAATGTATTAAATTAAATCACTCAAACCTCACTGATGTGAAATGTTTGAATAGAAACAAACTTTTGACTGTACAGAAACATTTTTCTACAACAAGAAACATTTGTTGCATAAAAATGAAACTGTACAGTATCAAAAGGAAATAATGTCCATAAAAAATCCAAATTCTTAAAAAAAATGGAATTGTTTATTTACTGAAAGGAATCAAAGCTTAATCTTCAATGCACAGACAACAAAATGGCATCCAAATGATTGATTTTCAAATATATTTTGTTTATTTTATTTATTTACAACCACAAAGCANTACTGAAAGGAATCAAAGCTTAATCTTCAATGCACAGACAACAAAATGGCATCCAAATGATTGATTTTCAAATATATTTTGTTTATTTTTATTTATTTATTTATTTATTAACTCCTTGATATTTAAACTCTAGTGCTTTTTTTTAATATTGTTTATTCTTTATTAAAAGTTTAAATATATAAATAAAATAAAGCTAATATTGTTTACAAAATGTCTTAAAATAAAAAGTAGTGTTATAAAGCAACAAAACTCAAAGGTTGGACCTTTGAATGCAGTCGGGCAAAACTCCGACTAGTAATAGATATTGCAAAAATTCAATTTCTGAAGTTTATTTACATTCTAATATTTAATAATTATCATTAATTTTGCTGTTTTTAAAAGTTTGTGTTGATTAAAGGCTGAGAATCATTAAAATAAGTTTTTATTTTTTATTTTTAAAAATAATTATTAAATTTGATATAGACAAGATGTAAGTTAATATCATTTATGACCAGGCATCAACATACTATTCTGAAGAATTTAAGTCTAAATCTGGGCTAGATCTTCAGAAATGTAGAACTTCCTTTACTGCTGACACCATATTATGATTCTATCAGAATCCATGATAGATACAGGCTTTGGCCAAGCACAAAATGGAGCACAAATACAGATCCTCTTAGTGCCCACAAAACAGAAAGAATTTAAACAAACATCATACAGTAATGAATTTTTAATAAATTAAATTGACATAAAATTTGCACATTTATAAATTTCAGACATTAAATAAAGTCTGTAGTAATTAGATACAATCTTAATTACAAGATCAACTCTCACCAAAGGGAAAATAAAATGATTCAAAATATGACCAAACCTCAATTTAGTCCTGCTGTTTGTTCACTATTAAAAATGGCACTAGACGAAAATATCTCAATGAGAGTTATGCATAGCAATATCATCTATGCACAAATTTGAGTGTTTAAGTTTGAAAGTCAAGCATTATGATTATAACAATTTGAAGTTAAAAATCATACATTTAGTAATTCACATATACTGAAATGTTTGTAATATTTTTGAGGAAGGTCCATTCACAAGTATTTGTGGATTCTTACCAGGATGGCACTATACAGAAAGGCATTATATTGAAGTTTAGTGTATAAAAGTAGATATCTTACTATATTAATGAAATCATGTAGAATATTTGATATTCTTAGTAATTATATCTTACTACTATTAAGACATCAAACATCTTTATTTAGCAAATTACACTTTGAAAATTTAATAAGTAAAAATCCTGATACTCAAACCTCGACACAAAAACCTTTAAAATGCTGCCTTTTTATTCAAATTTTTGAATTTTCTTAGAATCTTTCTTTGAAAAATCCTAAATTCAAATATTTTTGGATTACTATTAATCTAAGAGTGCTTATAAATAACATTTATAGATATTCAAATACAGTATTAGAGTGATGTGAATATGTCACTTTAGCTATTTTTGTTTTACATACATTAGAATTAAGGATAAATCTTATTTTCCAATCCATAAAGTGGAAAGAATTTTTTACTTGTCTCTCTGGGTTTGTGTTAAAATGACATTACTCAAGACAATTTTTGTATATGTAATTTTAAAAAATTTCTATGAAACATCTAAAATTTTAAATGTAAATAAATAAAGTTTCTAAATTTTCTGGATAAAGGGTCTTAAAAGAACCCTTTAAGACCCTTTTCCAAAAAAATTAAAAAAAAACTTTCTTAAAATTGTTAATTGAATTAGTTTAGCTTAAACAACTAAATTCAATTTTTTAGTTTTGTTTAATTTTTATCATGATCATTTTTATTTTCTATTGTAAAATTCTGAATTAATTTACTTGCAATTATAAAATAAGCAATTCATGTGATATATTATGTTAAAAAAAATAACATTTTTTATGTAACCTTTTCCTAGAAAAACAACAAAAACTTCATGATTTAAGAAAAAATACATACATTATATCAGCAAATTCTTTTTCAATATATTTTTTCAGATATCAGATTTCTTTTCTCGTTAATATTAATTATTAATTATTTTTTGTATTAAGTTTAATTCTGTTCTATCAAATTGCATCTCTCTCTGTTCTCCTATAGATTATGTTGTATATAATTTCAGAATGTTTTTATCATTTTTGACTTTTTATTTTAGAATTTTTTTTACTCAAATAAAATTCATTTTTTGATGTAATTTGATAGTTAATAGGTTTTTAATTAATTTTGTTAATTTAATAAATTATTATTTTCACAATCCATTTGCATTAAATGCATTTATTTTTCTTGTTTTATTTCTTATTATAAAATTATAAATATAATATTAATTTTGTAGATGTTTTATGCCATATGGATTTTTCTTTAATAGTTCTCGGAAATTAAGTCCAAAAGAAAAGAAAAACCCAAAGAGGAGCAGCTGCCAGGGAGATTCTGATGATGGAGGCGGAAGACCAGGGAGAAAGAAGAAAAAGATGGAAGAGAGGTCTTCGGAACCAGCAGACACCGGACTATCACTAGGGGAAGACGAGGAACTAGCTTTACATCTGTTGACTCATTAAATGTAACAAAGAAAATGTTTTTATCAATATTTTTGTACAGTCATCTTTTGTATTTGAACACAATATAAAATATATTGTTTAACCTTGTTTCCATATGAAATTGATTAATTGAATTACATAAATCAAATTTCATTAAACAGTTAATTTTTCATATTTTAAATTTTTATTCTAAACATATTTTTGTTTTTCTGTTATAATTAATAGAATACGATATGATTTTCAAGGATGATTATTTTTAGAATTAATCATTACTTATAGGTAATATTTCTTTACTTTTTTTAATTGTCTCATGTTATGTAAACCAATATTTCCTAGTCATACAAATTAGGTATAGAAAGAAAAATATATTTCATATTTTTTTTAATATTTTATGGATGCTCATATCTCATTTTACTAAATGATATATGAATGCACAGCAAAAATTTTATTAAAAATATACAATAATTATTGCTTAAAGATGACTGTGTATTTAATAAAGTGAAAAATGATCAGAAACTGGGACTCCCAGAAGTTGAGATCCAGAACTCTTAACTTTCTAATGCTCCAACATATTAAAATACAAATAAAAGGACATTAAATAATAAACTGACAGAAAAGAAATGTTTTGAAGGTGTCTAATTCTTAGGCTTGAGTCAAATGGCTTTATTACACCCATGATAGGACCTCTTAGAAATAATACTGAAACTTTTAATATCTTTCAAATATATTAAATTCCAGAAATTTCATTTTTGTAAAACCTTGTCCATAAATAAGACAAGGGGCTAATAATGGGAAGCTGTTATTTTGGTTAGAATTCCACTCAAAGAATAAAATTATTTAAGAATAATTTGTGATAATGCAAACGTTCTAGCTTAAGTCAAATTTCTATATTAAAGTAAAAGAAACGTCCTTAAAATCTGTGCCAGAAAGATCTTTAAAAGACCATTTGTCTTCAATCGTTTTAATTAGTATTGAATTGTTAAGGACATTTGAGTAAAATTATATTCTAATTTTGAATTCAACATAATAGAGAATAAAAGCGCCATTATTATATATATAGAAAAAAATTGTGCCAAAGTATGTTTGAGAAGTGGACAGATGTCATTTCTCTCTCAAATGATCTGCAACTAAATTTGCAGACGAGTATATTACCGGAAGTAAATACGCTCGAACCTCTAAAAATGAGGAAATGATCATTACGTCATTCACTACGAGAGACGCTTTCCTACACTGCCTTGTGACACCTAAATTATATCAGGCTTATCGTCACTTGTAACGTTTAAGTAAAAATTCGGGTAGTCGTAATCAGAATATTAAAGAAAAATGGTGTGATTTCATCCGTGTAACCTATTTGCAATGTAATTTATCAACAAATTTTAAGACCATAAAGAATTACTACATTTTGTGACGTTGCCAAAATATATTACGGTTTTAAATTTTTTGACGAAGGATCCTAACCATATGTACAAGATTAATCATTTATATTTTTATGTATTTCGAAAAATGCAATGAAATAATAACTCTTAAAAGATTCTTTTTACATTGTGCGCTTTTAATCTCACGTTAATGCTTCACTGCATTTCGATAAATTATATACTTTATTATGAAATCTTATATTTGGAATATTTAATAGGATGTGTTATATACATTATGTATTTTATTCTTTTTCTGTGTTTATTCGCTAGTTCAACCTGGTGGAGGAAAGTAAATACAAAAACGTCAAAGTGTTGCCAGATAATTATAATTTGCATGAATTATCATCATTATTTGTTAGAGCGAAATTCCGTGTTTTTAAGTAATTTTACGAACAGATGTGTAATTTAATTAAGAAGTAATCTGTTTATAGCGGGATAGAAAATTTTCCGTATAAATATTTTTAGAGTATAAACGATCGCGCTATCTAAACTTGAAAAATTGTCGGGACAAACCAATGAGAATATAGATAAAACTAGAAGGAAGACAGATTCAAAAAATATATTGTTTAAATTTGATAATTAACGATAAAGAAATGTTGAATCGTTTAATAAATTATGTGAAAAAGGGCAGTAATTTAAGCAATTTCTCTCTTTTGCTTATGCTTTAGAAATTCTAGTTATTATTTCAGTCTGTTTCACACAAAAGTATACAATTTTTTTTTAAAGATTAAGTTTTAATAAATTCAATTTTACACTGATTTTCTATCGAAGAAATTATTTAATCGATATTTTATAAAAACATCTCAAAGCGTCGTTAACTGTACGATTTGAGCCATTCAATTCGCCATATTAAACACCCGCTCGGGCAACTTTCGAAAAAATATATAATTTAAAAATATATAAACTAAATATTACAAAGGAATTTAAAGCCCACCAGTGGTCGAATGGATAACATTACTGGTAGGTCGTGGGTTTGCGCCTCACCTACGGGTGCGGCCACGTGGCGTTTTCAGGTTTTCTTCACATTAGTAACACCTAAATAGGGGCCAATTTCCCACAAAAGACCTCCCGGGAGACATTCCCCGTGTCGCGACGCCAGACAAAAAATAAAATACAAAGAAATTTATTAAATTAATAAGACTGCTCCCTGATCGAATGCATTTTTCAATTTATCTTTGAATTGCAGTTTCGCTGTTGCTAATTTATGTATCCGGTAAATACAGAATTTTTTTGTTTTCTTTTACCGTTCGGTCTAACGGGAAGAAACTGTGTTTTCTATTTAGCAGGAATTTTATCATTTTCTTTCTTTAATGCAAGCGCATCAATTTTTAGAAACGTCAAAATAATCAATTCTCTTTTCGTTTCTTTATTTGGAAAGTTACATTAATTAAAAGCATTTCTAATTATTGGACTGGCTACTGTAGTGGTCTTAAAAAGGCATAGAAGACGTTGCAGCACATGTCTAAAACCTGTGTTCTAGCTGCTTATAGGAGTGAAAAATTTAAACGCGTTCGAAAGCAAATAACTTTCTGTGTCATCAACAATAAATTCCCTTTTTTCCCTATAAAGTAAAAAATTTTTTGAAGACGGGATAAATCTGTAAATCACGTGGTGCTGTTAAAAAAAATCGATATATATAGAACTGGCAACACTTACCGCAAACTTAAACACAGCGGCAATGGCGGGTGGAAATATGCCCATTGAATCTGTTATCGAGGAGAAAACCGACGTGGAGAAGCCCATAGATCGAGAAAAGGTATATTTTTTTATGTTTCTTTTTTAATTATCAGCAATGGAATTTCGTCACATGTTTATAAACAAGAAATTTTGTATACTTTTCTTTGTGTTCTTGTTAGGAACTGGCGGCGTGGTTAGTTTAATCGAACAAATAAAAATAAATGAAGAATCTTAAAACTGTTTTATAACTCTTAAATGGTTTATAATAATTACAGTTTACAGAACGTGATTTAAATCATTGTATGAGTTGCAACGTGGCCACGTTCGTTTATCACTGATCTTTCTAATATTTAAATGTAGAATGGATTCAATGTTTTATTATGAATCTTTAAATTTTGTAAGTGTACAGATTCCCTGTATCATCTTCATTCGGTTTAAATGAGATTTATAAAAACAGTAACTTAAATGCTTTTTGAAATGAATAAATTATTATAGTGAAATATATATATTGTCCTTTACTCCACAACTGGGTGTATAGGTAGACACAGGGCATCTTTAACATCACTCTTTATTCGTGAATATCTTATGCCCAAAATGCGTATTGGCGTGTAAGATATTCTTGAATAAAGAGTGATGTTAAAGATGCCCGGTGTCTACCTATGCACCTAGTTGTGAAGTAAAGGATGATTAAAAGACATGGTATTTTAAAAAGTCAGTAAACATTTTCTATAATTTAATTAATTAAAGCTGTTTTTAATTGAATGTTCTTTTGGATAAGCTATTATTTTTGATTTTTAAAAACTTGGTTTTGCAAACTAAGATTTTTAATTTGTGGAAAGTGGTCGTCTTTTTCAAATTGCTCATTTTAAATTTAAAATAAACCAATTATTTTTATCCTGTTATTAATTTGAAAACTGTGTAACTTCAAAAAGGAGGGGGGGGAACAATTTTTTTAAAACTTATTATTAATATATGTGATTTGTTACAAATGTATAAATTGTTCATTAATAAATTTCCTGAATTATGTACAAAGTAAAATATTAATAAACTGGAAAACATTTAATCAAAAATTAAATTTTTTTTTGGTATACAGTTAAAAGTATTCAAATGATAAGTGATACCATCAAAATTGTAATTATTTTTTCATTTAACACCACAAATACCTTTAAAATCTAGTTCAACATTTAATCAAATAATGAGAAATACATTTGTCATATATTTCTCATCATTCGATTAAATGTTGGACTGGATTTTAAAGGTACTGTACTTGTGGTGATAGTGTTTACAGTTTTAAAAGGCTACCAAAATTTTTTTATTTTTTGCAAAGTTTTAAGCTAGTTCATTTACATATGACCTCAAATTTAGGGCATAAATAGTAAATGTGTAGGGGTTTAGAAAGAATTAAAATACTGTATTTTGAAAAAATTTTATCAATATAAAATTCTTTGGGGTTCTCAAAAATTTATAATTTTACCTAATTAACTCATTTCTAAAATTGCAAAATGCTTTAAAACATAAGTATGCTAATTGATCACAACAGTAGGAACTTCGTCCCAAGTCCTTTTGAGGTGTTGGTAACACATTCCTCCATGTTGCATTTTATAATAATTCTTTATATAATTAACACTATTAGATGTAAAACTAATATTAACTAAAAATCTTTTAAAATTAGTCGTGGAATTTTAAGTTTTGAGAATAATTTACAACTGTCGGTGAAAGAAGTGTGTGCATTAATTGTTGGAATGTAAAATAAAAAAATATATATATAGTATGATAATGATTGATGATCTTATTTTGAGTAATTTTAAAGTAACATAATCTTTCAATGC